AAATAAATATGATGGATGAAAATTTAAATAAAATGTAAGAAAATTATGTAAAATAGATTTTTTAGTTATGTGATAGTAAATCATATATACATATATATGTGATATATCATATGCAATATGTGATTTTGTTTTAAAACTTTAGTTATATCTTTTGCTTTAGAGAAATGAATTTTGATCCCAATTAATAATTTTACTCATAATTATTTTTTCATAATAATTTTATTTTAATTTTTACCTAATTATATGGTTATTTGGAATTAAGATTGACATAAATATTTTAGTTAAAAAGAAAAATGAAAAAAAAAATTAAAAATAAAAGATGACACATGTCATCAAGAGAGAGCGCCAAATATCGTAACGTGGTAAACAGTTAGAAAAAACCTTGTTATATTATATAAGATACATCAATTTCCAAAACCTCTGTGTTGGAATTAGCATGACCAGCTTCGGGGAACCAGTCCTCTATCTCCTTATCACTGTCAACAAAATACCGAGAGAATTTCAATCATTCTCACGCACACTTTTTTTGATATTGGATTCTAAAAAATCATCCTCCTCTTTGAAAATTATGTCTTTTTATTAGATTTTCTTTTCTTTATGTATGAAAAAGGAAGTCTTTTAAGAAACGAACTTATAACATAAACTGAATTGATGAATAATATTGTTGTTACCAAACCGTTAAAATCACTACTACTCTATTCAAGAGTATATTGAAATTGACCACGTTCGTTTATGCCCACACACATTATTTATTTCCTTTTTCTTTTTTCCTAACATTATTTATTTCCTATTAATATAGTAAAAACATGTAATAATCCAATATTACTTTTTATTACAAATTACACCTAAACATGTAATTTTTTTTTTTAACATGTAAATTTTTAGACAAAAACAAAATTTATGTTGTTGACAGAGATTATTTGGTTATAATCAGATCTCTTTTTAATTTCAGTTACGATTTTTTCTGCTTAAAAAAACTGATACATCGATCGAAAGAGGAAAAGAGAAGGGGGGGGGGGGGGGGGGACGACAAGGCAATAAGCATACGAATGACTTAAAAGGATGTAGCATATCATATCAAGTTGTGGCACACAGTCACCGAAACATGCTATTTTTACTTTGTATTCAAGAACTTGTTTCCTTAAATACGTTCCAATGATAATACGTTCATAAGTCCATTATTCTCATCACCGACCATGAGGAATTTTAAGTACCAAATTACCCAAAAGAAGAATAACTTAAGTTAAGTTAGAAAGAAGCCGTGAGAGAAAGAGGAACGACACACACACGGCAAATTAAAAAACTAAAACAAAAATCATTTGAATGAATCGCGAAACTAGCATCTCTGGACTTATGCAAAACTAATTTATACATGATTATTTATTTTAATTTTTTATCTTCAGTAAAATTACATAACTTTACCAAATTATATGTCTCTCCGAATTTCGAAACAAAAAAAGAAGAAGATTATAATAGTAACAATCCAATTAATTAGTCGCTGACTTTAAATAACTACATATACAGACTACATATGGTTCATGGAAATTTACGGGTGTAAATGGTAACATTAGTTCGAGAAATTGTTGAGAAAAAGTTGAGGAATTTTCATTAGTTTACATCATTTAAACAAATAAAATCTTGAGGAAATCTTGAGGAAAACTTGAGGAATTTTAGTTACATCATTTAGTTATTTAATACTTTTATATTTGTTATCTTTTTCTTGTAATGTTTTTAATAAACTATGAATACTATATATTATTAAAATCATAATTCCAGAAATATTAAACTTATTTGTGTGATGATGATAAAAACTAATTAGTTAATCTTTTCTTAAAAAAAATAAAAGACATAATTAATGATGAAAATGGTTAGATTTATATTGATCTCTTAAGAATACAAATAAGTTTGTAACCATTTAATAATTAATTTTAATAGTTTAAGGTTTCATATGATAATTATGTTTTGTAACACTACTTAATAATAAACTTAAAATATAAAATTAATAAAATAATCTTTAAAATTCAGGGGTCTATCCGAAACAACTCATAACATGTAAGTACCACTTTTTAAATCACTTTTTTTTGTTTAATACTAATGATGTCCTCAGGAACTACTAATAAAAGAAGAAAAAAAAATGTAGGAATAGTAATGTAATAATAATCTTGAACCTGAAAGAAGTAAAATTTACAAAAATAAAGACAAAACTCTTTTCTGTTTTTTTTTTGCTTTTACCACATCTTTCTTCTTCTATTGGTTGGTTGGTTATAGAACCATTTAGATACTGACTGACTGACTGACTTTTCTCTTCTTCTACATCAATCACAAACTCGATGCTCTGCCTAAATATAAAATAAAAACACAACAGAATCAATAAGAGTTAGCCCCCAATACAATACAAAACTGACTCTGGGATTTACACTTTTTAAAGCAAAGATAAAAAAAATAGAGTCCTAAGACCATGTCCAATGGTAGTTTGTTAAGTAGTTTCTTAGTAATAAAAGACAAAAAAATAAATCAATAATGAAAATAAAACTAAGAAATGTATCTTAGGTTAGAAGTTTTGAGAGAGTTTTTTAGTGATAGGTGTCAATATATGAATAGTTTGAGTTTAGGAAAAAAAAAAAAACATTTTGTTAGCAACAATTAAAATATAATTTGTACTATGTGTTTTTATTATGTTTTTATATAATATGTGTTACAAATTTTATAAAATCTAATAATTTTGAGAATTTTTTTAAAATAACTCTTTTCAAATATCATTTTTTAACTCTATTTTCAAACTTTATAAAAAAAACACTAAAAATGTTGAAATTTATCAAAATATGTGTGTAAACTTATAATTATACACACAAATTATCTTTGTATGCGTAGAAAATTTTATATAGTTTTTATAAATAGCGTAAAGGTAACTTATAAAAACCTTTTAAACTCCTTTAAAAACCTTTTAAAATATGTAAAAATGATTTAAAACTTTTTAAAACATTATAAAATATTTATATTGAATCTCAGTAGTAGTTATTATGTAAAAGTACCTTATATACCATATAAAACTTTATAATTTTCATATTTAAACAGGGGTATTTATGAAAATAGATAGATAGGTATTTTTGAAAAATACATTTTTTAGTGTATTTTTCAATAATTCTCAATAATTTTCCTGTTTTATAAAATTTTAGTTTTCAAATTTTAGTTTTTAAGAACTCCAATTAGAGTTTTAGCATTGGAAATGGAAAATTTTAAAAAGTTCTTATTTTTAAAAAGTGCACAATTTATTATCAAAAAGTTACCAAGATCTTTAAATTAAAAACTTGCATTGGACATGCTCTAAGAGCAACATTATCAATAGGTTCATAGAATTTAATCTTAGGAATAGTTTATTATTAAATTTGAAAAGATAAGAGTTAAATGTTGTATTTTTGTTTTTAGTTTTGATGTGTGTTTAATGGTAGACTCTTAATTTGAGATTCTTAGAAAATATTTATTTTAAAATTAAATTTTAATTTTAAAAAAGTTTATAATTCTCTTGGTTTCAATCATAATGTTGTGTTATGTGACTTGAAGGAGCATGAGCCATTGAAGTATTTACGTTTAGTGGTGAGAATTGTTGGTACTGATGGAAATCCTGCACATGGATTGGTATCGATGTCTTCGCAGGTTCATATTCAAGCTCATTTTACATAATGTTTTTGAAAGAGTAAACATGAATAACTTTTCAGATCAAATTCAAGAACTTTGGACGTGTAGTATTCGAAGCTAGTCAAACAAAGGTAGATTCACGAGAGGTGGTATATAATCAATCTAAAGACCAATTAAGTAAGCACAAGTTTGAAGCTTGAGTACAAAGCATAATCACAAACCAGATACTGTTTCAAAGGAAAGAACCTGCAAGTAGGTAATAATATAAATTGTGGGTACTCTAGTTCCTTGTTCTTCTTGTCTCACAACCCATTGGTAAAGTTTCTCCTGTAAAACAAAAAGTCTAATTCATTAGAACAAAAGAACTCAAAACTTCATATTTACAATATCATGAAACGCTACTGAATGATGCCAAGAACGTTGTGCTGCCCCCATAAGGAAGCAACGATCCCTAGTTCATCAATTTAGTTAGTCTGAGTAGAAACAAAAGCAGCCACTTCAAGATCAAAAGGCCACAACTTTGATCAGTAAGACCACGTATTAGCTTTATATGAAGATTAGGTTCATCTGATAAGAACCAATTCAGAGTGTCTCTCGCTCCATTGATTCAATTAGGACAAACTTAAAGAGATCATATCAGCACAAACAAGAATAAAAAAAACAGAACAACCAAAACATGATATCCATGAGTTAAACAATAACTCTAATCTTGAAATCAAATAGCAACCAAACAAAACACAAGCCTTCAAATTTCAAGGTAGTCAACCAACATCAAACAAGAAAAGTATTCAACTTTTTTTTAATCGAACCCAGAAATCAAAATGGAAACTTGATAAAGAATAAGGTAAAGAGAGAGAGAGACAGAATAGACCATGCCGCGACGTTCACCGGCGAGGAAAGAGACGCGTTGGTGGTTCATGCCGTGGGTATAGAGCTGAGAGAGCGAATTAGCAGCACCCCCAAACGCTACATTGTTCGAACAATCTCATCGAGCCGTGTGGCCTCGGATTTTTGTTTCTTCACCTTTAGAGTTCGAACGGATTACACAAACCCTAGATTTAATAAATTAGGGATTCGGAGAATTGAAATTGGTAAAAGAAAAAGAAGAAGAAGAAATGATCGATTGTTGGTGAAGGGAAGAAAAGAGAGAAGACAGAACGCGAGCCATTGTTTTTTTTTTTCTCATCTTTTTCTTCTTTGACCAATACAATAATGCCATGTGTGCGTCTCTTACCCTTGTTTACGTCTTTTAATTAAGATACGTCTCTTGAGAAAAATCAACATTAAATTTTAAAATTTAATCTAAAAAACCTTAAGAATCACCAAACATCTCACCGATAATGGTGGTCTAACCTTACAAGTAACTCGGGAAATCCATCATCCCATACTGAAGAGCTGCAGACAACACAAAGAAAGTTTCACTTTATTATTCATATAACATATATAGACTCTTGCTAATTCTTAGTTCTAGTACTTGTCAAACATGTAATCCAAAGAGAATTTAACAGGTCAAGGAGTTAGTCTAACAAGTCAAGAACAATTAACCAAACGAATTATGCCAAAGCCAATTTTGCAGGCAGGACTTGAGAGAGACTACATCTCAATGGCTAATGGTTGCAAGTCTCTTTGACCTATATCATGTGTCATACCTAGTTTGTTTTCTCAGATTCATTCTTCACAAGCACCTCAAGCATTGTCCCTCTAAAATCAAAACTGATTCTCAATTATACTAAGCATTGTCTTTTCAAACATCGAATACCACTATTTCCTAACTTTCAACATAACCAACAAACTTGATTAGAAAAGAAATAGAAGAAGAAATCATCATCTTGCCAGTAAATAAAGCACTCATGCTTAAGCTATAGCAGCAAACAGAAGCAGATTCAATTTCCTAGCTCATGAACCGCTTCCCAACTATTGCTCATGTCAGTCATTGTGAGAATGTTTCCAGTCTCAAGCTATAATATTAATAACAATGCTACAAATTAAAGAGTGATGTAATCAGGACCTCCTACTCATTATAGATACCAATACTTGCTACTAATTACTTACTTTTTCCTGTTCTGAGAATCTGATTCATCATCTACGTGCGAAATCGATTTGCTTTCATACCAACAGGCAACAGTATCGGTTACAACTTCTTTACTACTCTTTTATTTTCCGGAACCTAGCCAGACTACAATGGCTATAACTAAATGAAATCATGTAAGATCATTTCTGCAAGAAGCAAAAGTATTCTTCTTTTGAAGTCTTTTAACAGATGGGTTTATCTTCATTGGCTCAGAGAATCACACAAGCAATGTAAAACTCTTTGTTTCCACTCTTATGCTATATAATAAATGTAAAATCAAATGAGCTAATAAGACACTGTTACAGAGCTAAGACAATGAACAAGGACACAAGATTTCCGAACAGAGAAAGGTATCAGGTCTCACCGGCGGAGGCGGAGGAAGTCGGTCCTTTGGGGCCAGAGGTACGCCGGATCTTGTGAAGACGAACCTGCATCTCAGTGAAGAGCTGCATCCTATGGCATTCCAGTTCCTTGGCAAATCTCATTCTCTGCTTCTCCAATTCCACCATCTCCTTCCTTTTCCTCTCCTCGACCCTCTCGTATATCTGTCCAAGCCTCTCAATTGCGTCGGCAACTTCTTTGTAACCTTGCTTCTTCTCAATTTCCCTCTCCCGCTTCTTGTTACTTCCGCTACGACCGCTCGATCTGGACCTTGAACCTTCCGAATCATCCTCAGACGCCGGACACGCCGCCGCCGCCGCGGCTGCCGCGAATGCGTTAAGATTTCCGCGGAATCCGAGTAAATCGTCGCCGACGTGAGGTATAATCGCCGGCGACGTCGCCGGACGTCTGGGGATCGCCGATCGTGGAGCGACCGGAACTGGAATAATCGCCATCGGAAGTGATAGCCTCTGGTTAGGGTGGTTGTTATCAGTTGAATCTGGAGTACTAGACGTCGGAAAGCTTTCCCGGAGAAGGTCATCGAGAGCGGAGAAGAAAGGCCAAGGGCTGATGTAGGAGCCGGGATTGGATTCCGAAACCCTAGCCTTCTCGACTTTGTACTTCTTCTTCAAAGTATCGATCCGGTTTTTACACTGAACGTCGGTGCGATACGGCTGCGATTTGGCGGCGGAAACGTTTCGGCCGGAGTTAAAGTGACGGTCGTTGACGGCGTTAGCGACCTCTTGCCAGTGTTTCTGACGGAGATTGCCACGGCTAAGCTCAACGAAGCGATTACCCCAGGCTTGGATGAGCGTGAAGGTGGCTTCCTCGCTCCAGCAATCTTCACGAGAAAGAGTCGACGGCGAAGGACGAGAAGACCCCGGCGAAAAGGAATCGTGAGCGGAGTCCATCATACGGTGAACGACGGTGAGCTAGATCGGAGAGTACGAACGGTGAGGATGAGATAAACGGAAGGTGGACAGTGACGGTGACGGTAACGGAATTGAGGAGGAACGAAGGTTTTTAAAACATATTAAAAAAAACAAAAACTAACCAGCGTTGAGCGTTGTGTGCATGTATGTACTAAACGACCAGACTTAACGAGCCAAGCTCCATTATATATATAATCGTTAATTTCTTTTCTCACAAGAGCTAAACAGTTTTTTCATATTTATTTTTATATTTATAAACGCTATAAAATAATCTTTTTAATATTTAAGAAAAAGGAACATGTGAAATTTTTATAGTCTACTCTAATCTTAACCAGTAGGGTAAATAGGTGTGGTAGTTCTGATAAAAATTTAATTATGTTTAGGCTTCTCAATTTATTTATTTAATGGCTTTTTGGGTTTTTATCTAATAAATTTCATAGGTTTACCAACACGTTTATTTGATGGTTTTTTAGGTCAGTCAATTTTGCGTTGATTCTTTTCTTTCTTAACAGCTGAAAATTTTCGCAATTGAAAAGATTAGCTGGTAAATACGTATTAGTTTTGGTTATATTTTTCAATTATGTCTAACTTAATTAAAACATATCAATGTTTTTAACGTAAGAAATGAATTGATATCGACCCTAGATAGAATGTAACTGAATAAATTTTACTATTTGAGTATGGTAGAATTTTCTGAAACTGTAGAGGAAAATCAAAGGTAATTAACTAATCGGATATGGCTAGTTAGATGTTTGATTTTTTATTTTTTGAGATTCCCTACAATGAAATGTACATTTAGTTTTTTTTTATTTTTTAATGTATAAGTGGGCAATAAACTGGATGGGTGACACGAAACAATAAGAACATTAAGTTTAATCGTATATGTCAGTGTCGTTGTTGTATCACCGTCAGTAAAATACATTTTATTTTGTTGTTAAATAGCTGAAGACGAATTGAGTGAGATTAAGAGAAATTCAAATCGTTTAACGCCAAAAATACTAAAACCACTATCTTTATGCTCAAGGAAAAGTGAAATTAGTAAAATTATGACGCAGGAGAAAATTGGAAAAAGACTAGGAAGCTTGGACATGTTAAAGTGAAAGAAAGAGTTGGTTATCTCACTTCTTGTAAAATTCGTACGTCTACTCTCTTTTTCTCCTTCGTTCAAAAGGTTTTGATTTTACGAATTTGTTTTCTCCTTCGTTCAAAAGGTTTTGATTTTACGAATTTGCAATGATCAAACGGAAAAGAGTTCCACAAAGCTTTTTTGTGGATGTGAAATCGCCAAAGTTCTTTTGTACAAACTCAGAGAAGAAAAGCCAACAATATTCATTTAAACAAAAAAGAAGAAGAAAAAAAAACTCTCTTGCTGCAATGTTAATATTCACAGAAGGAAGAAGATTGAGAGAAGTTAGCTCGTATACTCGCAATCCAACAAACGAGAGAGTATCTCATTGCAACTCGGTCTTTGTTCCGGTTCTGTCCAACAATCTACAATAACAAGAGATAACACATCAGATAAGAATATTCCATAAAACCCAAACAAAAGATTAAGGAACAATGAGGGGTCACAATACATACCTGCAATAAGCTTTCCCAGTGGTCCTTCAGGAATCTCAAGCCGAGCTCCCTCATAAGCAATGGCATAAACAACCTGAAGAATATGCAGATACTTGTTACACATGTGTATCTACTCGTAATGTGTCGCTAAGGAGGTCCTCTTTTTGTTTCAGTTATCTTACCCGTTCTGGCGGTACTCCTTCCCAAGGTCTGGTTAAAGTGCAGAGTTCCCACATTATTACACCCAAGCTGAAGATATCGCACTTTTCTGAGAAGGGCTCATTGCGGATAAGTTCAGGAGCCATCCACTCTGGAGTTCCTGCAGAGACTGTGTCTCTCATTGTTGTCCCTGTCATTATCCTCGAGAGCCCAAAATCACAGATCTTGACAGTCCATTTGTTGCTCAAAAGACAGTTTGCACTCTTTATATCACGGTGTACTATCCCCATCCGGTGTATGCACATCAATCCCCTAGCAACATTTTTATCAAGTTTAAATGCTGTTTGTTGATACAAATGATTACAAAACTTTCTCATCAAAACACAATTCCATGGCCTATTTGGAAGTGTCATTGCCTTCTCGTCAAACCAACATTTTAACACATTTATACCACATAACGGTTTTGTATGGAAGATAGAATTACCTGCAAATGTCACGCAGCATCTTTAGCTTCCTCCGCCAGCTTAGCCTCTTTTTTTGTCCACTCAAGTGGAGCAAATAATACAAAGATCCCATTTCCATGTACTCAGTGATCAGTGATAATCGTGGAGGTTTTGTGCATGCTCCAAGGAACAGTATAACTACACAAAGTCGAAGATGCCTCCGTTAATGAAATCATATACTACAATCTTACAATGAAAACTCATAGAGATAGATTCGTACCATTGGGATGTCTAAGTCGGCTGGTCATCATTGGATGCAGAAAGAGAACGAAGTAAAGAAAGTCAGAAGACAAGTCAAGTGTTATTGCTAATTTGAATAAAACAAAGAAAGCCTACACACCTAAGAATTGATATCTCATTGCAGAAATCCTCCATGTTCTCAGCTGTAAGGTCTTGCTCAAGGAACACTTTGATCGCAACATCTGTCCCGTTCCAGATCCCACGGAAGACTTCTCCAAAAAAACCTGGACGAAATCAACAAAGAAGTTTCAGTCGGATGCTAATGTTTAAAATAAATCAAAATTTTGATGACAAAAATATAAGGGTTAAGACTAAAGAGTGTGAAGGATAATTAACAAATACTAGACATAAGCCATATTTTTCTTTGAAAGGAATTTTGTGGCCAATACGCATAAACCCAATACAGTTAAAACCATTGAGCTAAAGATCCTTACCAATTCCAACACGTGTCCCAACAGTCAACTCGGAAAAGTCTATGTTCCATTCTTCATATGGTAATAATGGCTTATTCTGGAACATCGGAGATCCCAATACTTTATCCCAGATGTGGCTTATATTACGATTTGACGATCCACTTTGGTCATATTGGCTTCGGTAGTTCTGGGGAGAAGATGGTAGGGAGATTGCCTTCTGTGGATCGAGTGGTTCCCTTAAAAGTGTAGACCTTCCACCAGAAACTTGGTCATGGGCATCAAGATGAAAACCAGAGACCTAGAAGCACAAAGTCTAGTTAAGCCACAAATTTCACAAGTCAAAATGAGTAAACGATTCCAAGTTCATAATTTAAGTATGCTGCAAAAGATAAAAAAAAAAACATCCCCTTGAAGTCCATTATTGCCCTTGTTGTTGAAACATAAAAAAAATTATTTCCTACAGATCACAATCATCATTTTCCTAGAATTTTTCTTCCATATCCTGAAACATATAAAACTTCCTGTATAAACTTAGTCCATGAGAAAAGAGACCTAAAATGCTGTTGCAGCCCAAGTTTCTTTGTTTTCAGTATTTTCACTTCTATGTTTACAAGCTAGCAGCATAACCAAATTTCTCAAAATATTCCAACGATCTATATATGAATAAGCTTAACATACATCTTTCTGGAGATGAGAGCTCTCGGTTCTGTCATTTGGAGAGTTAGGAGATGAGCCATCATCCCCTTGCTCTTTTGCGAGGCGATTCTGCTTCAAGGCTTCATTCATCGCTCTTACTGCCCTGAAAAAGATTAACAGGTAATTTTTGTTATAAGGCTATCAATAAAATAACAATACCACTGGAGCTCGGTGTTCCAAATAATTTAATGGTGGTATATATCATAATAAAATTGCAATGATCATATATCAATGCACAATCATTGGAATGTTATATAATCATATGATTGTGCAGTGATATGTGATCCCAACTAAGAAAAAGAATGCCCTCTCTAGCATTCTTTTGATACTTTCGATAAGAGAGTGTACCACTAATATTGTCGAAATCATTACATAGATGAAATCACAACTGAGAAAAACAGATAAGGTGAAACTGCTAAACTGCAACCTATCACAGGAAATTTACAATATATCAAAACCAGAGAAGCTTGTTAACGAAGGGAATTATAATATATATGTAACCAGGTTGCAGAAAAAAATCATGCTAGCTTTACCATGCACAAGAAGTTAAAAAAGAGCGATAATGTAAACACTGACCTGACAATATCATCGCCAATCTCGGGAGTTATACTAATACTTCTCCTCCTTATTCTCTTCGTTTCCAATTTCGCTCCTCCAACAGATTTGCTGTTGCACATGAAAACTGATAACATAAGGATTTCTTCAACAAACTTTAGACACCATGTTATTTAAGCAAAAACGAGACGAAAGAGCTCGGTAAGCACTAAACCAGACACCAAACACCATACTCTCTTGCAGCAATATATCACATATATTGAAAAATACAAGGAAAAATCAAATCTGCCAAAAACCTCTCCAACATATACAAGTTACAAAGACAAAAAACCGTAACCAACCTTGATGTGGCAACATCACCGGTGAAATCTCGTGCCAAGTTCTTGTCGCCACTTAGCATGGACCTTGTACGGGCTCGGAAGGAGAGATGTTCGGGACTGTGGACGCGATAAAAGTAAAAAAGATCTACGAAATTAGAAGACTGGAATAATGAACGTGGGAAAATCAAACATCAACTTGTACTTGGTTTCAGAATGCATATACATGTACAATTCAACAGGGGTAAGAGTAACCTGGAATTAGCAGTCCGCTGATCAGCAATGACCTTTCTCCGGCTCTGCCTCCAAAACTCGTTAGCCATGTTTGACTCGCTCTGTGAGAAACTGGAGATAAAAGATAACACTAATGACATAAGGTCATCTATTCCATTCCTCGATTAAACATAAGCTATATTCAAACCTGGGGTTGGCTGGCATAAAAACATATTAAAAACAACCAGGATTATCACCTTAATTTCCTCTCTAGCGCAGAGGCAGAACGTAACAGCATGTTCCTTGACGGTGGACCAGACATATTTGGAGACCCGTCTAGTTTCCTGTGCAACAAAAGGTTTTCATCTTTTTCTGCACTGTACAACAACAATAGTTAGAAACTCTGCACACAAAAACACTTATTACTGAAAAAAGCTGTAGTAAACTAAGATACACGCTATACTTATATAATAATGCAATGTTCATGCATTGAGATTTTACAGTATAAAACTTCAATATCTACTTACTTTTCATGGTCAATTCTCTCTGGATAACCAAACATGGGACTGTTTGGCTCCAAAGGTGAATCACAAGAGTCATTCTCTGCAGAATCACTTTCCCCTGCCGCTGAAATATGACTCATAAAAATTGCCTTGGTTGATAGAGGGATAAGCTGACCAGGAAATCGCATTAGATCAACCAGCATTTCCACAGAATTCAGCAGAACCGTGACAGAAATATGGCTGAATGAGTCCACACTCTCAGCGGCTCCATCACTTGGCAACCCCTAATCAAACAAATTAACCAAAATGAATAGCATGTTTAAAGGTGGTCAAAATATTCAGAATTTAAGTCATGATGCATATTTCTTCTCGAGAATAACATTTATCAAAATTAATCATCATACGCAAAAATGGAGTGATTCTCAAGACCAGGGATGACATTTTTGTATGGTACTTAGTACTTACCACTACAAGCCTACTTTGAAGACCAACAGTATCAGCTAAAACTTTAAATAAGATTGCTCGAGGACGACAAGAACCATGTTTGATCTGTCCTAACAATTGAATACCACAGTTTTCAAATGATTGTGTAGTTTTTGCCGGACTCTGCAGAATGGATTGCTTATAAACATCTGCTACCTGCCAGACAATTTCAATAAAGAATTTCAGATAACTAAAAGGAGTTAGCAAGAGTTATGAAATGCCCGCTCTTGTCGCATCTTCAACAAATTGATGTTCCTGAAGACACTAATAAATGGGATGCGAGAGAAAAGGGCAAGCAAACAAAAATATATATTTCCTAATTCAACGTTTTTTCCAAGTAAGCAGAATGCACAAGTTGGAATTAGAGAGAGATTAAGGGAAAGAAACTAAATAGTCTAGGGAAGTTTATCTTGAAACACAAAAGAAAGATGCTGATTCACAATTTAGAAAACAAAGAAGACGTAAAGATCATGTGGCATCTATCTTAGTATTATAACGGACACTCTCAAAATCACTTTTCATTTGACAGACATGTAGTCACAACTCTTCCTACCTCAATTTTATCGATTTATGATAATTATTTTTGCATGCAACTTTTAAATGGAGAAACAATATGGTTATTTAGTGATTTCATACAGGAAACAATTTTTAGCATGTAGATTATTTATAAAGATGTGACGCAGAGTTAAATTAACCATTTATACAAAGTACCTCAAATACTTACCAGTCCAGCAATTTTCTTAATAATAGTAGCTGGCTTTGAGTTCAATCCACTGACAAGTTTGGTAATCAGCTGTTTTTGCCTGAAAAGCTTTTTATCTTTCTGAAAATCAACAAGAATCACATCGGCCTTTAAACCTTCGTCACCCAGAGCATGTAGATCTTCCAATGTAGGAATGCTATTAAATAGCTGCTTCAATCTATTATCCTGTAGAATTTTAAATTGACAGGTAACACAGGTTAATCGAGATTGAATAAATCTCACTGAAACATTATTGAGCAGAGCTAATATCAACCTAAAAGTAGCTTACCGGGATCACAGAGTAGAAGCCATTTGGGATCGGCTCAGAAAGCGAACCAGTACTCCAGAGGATATTCGATGCAGTACTAGATGGCAGCCCATCTTGCCCAAGACTTTTGGGTGAGTCCTTAGAACTAGAGGTCTCTTCTTGTGATCCTAGATAAATAGAACCAAATCTCTCCACAAATTCTGAAGGCCACCAGGTTTGATTGGAAGGTTCTTGCTCTGATGGCCCAGCATCATCTCCCGTCTCTCCCATTGCCAATTACCTTGATGACTATACTTATATTATCCCCTATTTATCCCATAAAAGGAAGAGTAGATAGAAGAAAGGAAATCCTGGAGACCAAATTACTGAGAAGCAAACTTCATTTATCAGTAGCACTCAATCTGGAGGTCACTTGATCTGCGTTCACAGAAACGAAAAATGGTAAATAAAAACTATGATGGTATCGAAATAATGGAAACAAAGAAGGCGGAGTTTTCGATGAATTCACTTAAAACTTACATGCATTACACACATTAACAATAAAAACAAAAGACTAGTTGCACTTGTTTTCCCTCATCACAATCTAACTGATACAATTGCCAAATAAAGGAAAACTCAAAAATTTCACCAGTTCAACGATGTGTGCATTACTCACTTGTACAAGAATTATTGATGGTTTTCATCCGAGAGACCAACGTATGTCTCAAATGATTGAAGCTATTTCGTTCTCCTCAAAGTCTAGCGGGGAAAAAAATCTAAAGGATTAATCCTAACTTCCTGTAGCTTCCGATGTTAGCACAAAATATCTCAGTGATGCACCAAATTATTCATAATCAGCCAAAAAATATAAAACAAGAAGCGGGAACTAAGTGTCAAAGATAAGGAAACCACCAGCATTTTAATAAAAACAAGAGAAAAAACTCTTATAATCGAATCTCACTCTCATCAAGTCAACGACAGAATCTCGTAAGGATCTTAATTGAATAGAGCAAACCAACATAGATCCCATGAAAGTCTCCAGGTAATACATAGCACAATTCTGAATAAATTGAGTCCCGTATATACAAGTTCATAAGTGCGATCTCGTTCGATTTACTCAGAAACTCAGTTTCAACGCTAAACCATGACTAACGCAAAACCCACCAAACTTAAACAACCTTTACGAAAACAAAGACCAACTAGAAAACCCCCTAAGAGCGATCCAATGCACGGAACGAAGTGTCACAAACATAAAACCAAATGAATCACAATTCCAAAGATGAGCATTTAAGAAAAGTTCAATAAGGGTTTTTGTAAAATCACCTTAATCAGATCCACGCATTCAAATTCCGATCGAACTCCCGAGTTTAAGAATAAACGAAAAATCAAAACTCGATCTCAGTGTGAAGACTAAGATGCAGCAAAAAAGTCCCGATCAAAGGCAACAAAGAGCTATACGGTTCACACACACACAGACACACACGTACACAAAACAATCAGGGAGCATATATGTACATGTGTGTGCTTTTTTTATTTTATAAGAAGTATTGAAATCGGGATTTCACACAGTGTTTATGATTTTGATTTGAGGGACCAAAAGAGAGAGAGAGAGAGAGTGATGGGATTTTGGGAAAGTGATGAAGACGAGGGAAAGGAGAGGAAGATGAGAGACGAAGAGAGACGGACGACGACTGACCCCCCCCTCAAGTGACGATGGCGAAGTCACGTGCGAGTTGATGAGTCACGTGTCATTAAGTAGATGCACCTCTCTCTGATAGACAGCTGTCATCCCTCGTGAATCACCACCGTCGCTTCTCTTCTTCTTTTATTTTTCCTGATTGGTGGGGGTGGTGGTAATAACTAATAATCTTTTGACATTTTATTTATTTTTTAATGCATTTCTATCTTTTTAGGGGGTTAATACAGAGATTTATAAGAAGAAGAAAGAAAAAAATTAGAACATCCATTAATTAGTATGTTTTTTTTTTAGTTTTTTGACAACACATACAGTACTAGTAATATTTTTATCTAATTTAAAAGTAAGATGATCTCTATTCATTGAATGTAGTGGACCTTAATTAATTAATCTATTCAAAGTACTAATCAAGAATACTTTGATCTAATTCGGATTTTTAAATTTATTATCATATACTTTTCCTAATCCCTACTATGTTATGATTCTTTCAAAAACAAAAAAAAAAACTTTAAAATAAAATGAAAGTTTATGTAATTCAAGAAAAAAAATTGATTCTAGTATATATCGAAATAAAATAAAATAGAGGAAAATGTGAGGAACAGAAGCTTTTATTTTTAAATCTAATGACATACCGATGATGATGATTATTTTTATTTGTTGTGCAATTATGGCGAAGCTAGTGAGAAATGTAGAGAAAAAATAATTAAAAGTTGGATCACGTCAAGGTCAATTAGATTTGGAGGAAATATTAAGAAAAGAAAAAAAAGTGCACGTGGAACATTATCATCGAATCTATTCCTTTTTATTTATTTTAAAATTTTGCCTTTTTCTCCGGTTATTAGTGTTTTTTTAGAATTTGCCAAAGTTAATAATAATATTCTACGAATAATTCTGATAACCAACTAATTAAAACAAAAACAAATATTGATGTTAACAAATTACAACCATATTGACCCAAGTGACTTTTTTTTCGTTTTCTCCTTTGTAATTGTCTTGCGGCCAAAACACAACTGTTACCAAACATAACACATTTTAAAGCTATATATTTCCCGGTATCAACTTCCCGGTAATGATTCCTTTTGGCAATTAATGAGGAAATTATTTGATAATCTAAAGTGTACATACAAGGCGATAATGAGAAACCCAAATTGCTCTCGTGCCCTCGTAATTTTTGCCACCGACACCTTGACTTGCTATCAAATATATGTGTAAAGTTACATCTTACATGTCGTTTCAGCCATGTGTCTGACTACTTCTATCAGCCAAAACATATTAGAATCTCAGGCATAAGTGGTATTACTTGAGGACCCGTTGAGTTGTGTTAAAGACCTTTCAAAGAAAATAACTTTCAGTTTTCTACTTCGGTAAGTCGGTAACTACCAATCACCAATATGTGGACCATGCAAGTTTTTGGGCTTCGCTATTAACAAACATTAGCGAGGGATTTCTTTTTGTTTGTTTTTAAAAGCCTAGCATAATTAAAACACAACTTAGGTGTAAATTTTAAATCTTAATTGAAGATATTGACATCAAAGGAAATTGGGACTAGGACTAAGAACTCTCTCTATCCCTTTAAGAATGAGATTATCTTTATATAAACGAGTATGCCAATTCAATGATGATATATATATATATATATATATATATATGTATTATCATTATTTCAGAGAGAAGAATTATGGAGGCGAAAAAGAGGAAGAGCAGCGATGATGAAGGAGAAGGTGCAATCAGCTACTTTCCAGATGATCTACTTTGTCACATCTTGTCTTTCCTTCCGACAAGAGCTGCAGCTTCGACATCTCTTCTGTCCAAAAGATGGCGACGTTTGTTCACACTGATACCTACTAGTCTTGATCTTGATGACTCTGTATTCTTACCTCGTGACAGACCAAAAGAATGCCGTCGGACTAGTTTCATGGACTTTGTGAACAGACTTCTTGCTCTCCAATCCGATTCTCACATTCCCACTACCAAATTCTCTCTCAGATGCCATAAAGGCGTGGACGAAAATCTTGTTGAGGATTGGATACACAAAGCTCTGATACGCGGAGCAACAGACCTCTCCTTAGTGTTGCTCTTCCCTTCTTGCGGATACACGTTGCCTTCCTGTATCTTCTTCTATAGCCAAAACTTGGTTAAGCTTAAACTAGGTGCTGGGATACTTGGTCTCGTAGACAGTTTTAAAACTCATCGACCAGACTTTATCTTTACAAAGCTTAAAACTCTGCACCTTGATTCTATTGACTTGGGTCCTTTTGATCCTGGGTTTGCTCTGCTTCTATCTAAATGCCCTGTGCTGGAGGAGTTGATCATAAATAATGCAAACTGGTACCAATGGGACCCTACATCAGTGTCCACCCCAAGCCTCAAGAGACTAACCTTTGATTGTGCCCATAACCTCTCTAAGTTGAAGGAAGGGAAATTAGCACAGGCTTATGAGTATCCACCGGCAGATATTAGTCTAACCTTCTACTATGGTACTTGGGCTCCATCCACTGTTTCATTTGACACTCCAAACTTGCTCTACCTAGACTACTCAGATTTTGTTGCCAATAACTACAAACTTGTTAAACTGGATTCCCTTGTTGAAGCCAGACTCGATCTTGGATTGAATGGAACTCACGTGTATGCAAGAGATCATCTTGGATATCAAATTGAGAGAGATGCCACCAATCTTATCATGGGGATACACAATGTTCAAACTCTTCACATATCCTCCGATACCCTTGAGGTTTCTTTCATTTTTGTTTTTCTCTATATAGTTAATTGATTACACTTTTGATGATCTTAATGACGATGTTGTCATGTATTTTCAGGTAATTTCAGACTTTTGTAAGACCGTACCGGTATTCCACAAACTGAATCATTTATCTATTGAGACTGACGATGAACGAGGATGGCAAGCCTTACCTCTCTTGCTCATCAACTGCCCCAGTCTACAATCTCTCGTCTTCCATGTAAGTATACATATAAGAAACAAAAAAAACTCTGTAGTTTATATATGTTAATTACACATTTTTTAATTTGGTTTGCTCCTCCCTCAGGGTCTACACCACAGTCTAACGGATGGATGTGGGAATGCTTGTAACTGCATCCCCCCCTCTTCGTCTTCGTCTTCGTCATGTCTAACAACATGTCCTGTGAAGGTCCTGAAGATATTGGACTTTGGGGCAACCTGCGGAGAGATGTCATTAGTTGAACATTTCCTCAAGAAGTTGCCTCGGCTTGAACAAGTGGTCATTGTATTACACTCTGATTCCTCCCAAGGAGAGGATGCTGATATTTTTGAAGTCTCCGAGGCACTTGAGATGGCCCCGAGAGCGTCACCCTATTGCAAGTTGGAAGTAGTTCATTATTAGTTCTGATGAATCTTCTGTAGGGAGACAATAATAAGATTTTAATAAGAATACTCTGTTTCGGCAATTCATAAGAACATACCAATTCTAATCAACACCGTATATTCAGATAACTTGTTTTGTTCAGACAATTTCAGAATCAGAAGAAGCTTCTTAAAAAGAAAATACAAGTTACAACGACCGTTTAGAAACACTATTAGAGAAAAGATCACTAACTAAATCATCAACTAACGCAGAGACAATCTCTCCTTCCATGTCAATGCCTTCCTCAAACATCTCTCTTTCGTAACCAATCCACCTCCCTTCGAAACAGCTCATGTCATGATCCACAAGCTCGTCGATCATCATCTCTCTCATCTTCTTCAACCCTTTTACTTCTCTGTTCAGTTCTTCAGCCAATAGACCTCTATGTTCCAACAAAATCCCACCTGACATCATCATCCCTTTGCAGCTTCCAATTAACATCCTTTCAAATTTTACTGCTAAGCACTGATTCACACAGTCGAAAAGCGCCTTTCTTTCTGTCTTCATTGACATTGCAGCTCCTCTAGAGCATTCCATTTCATCAAAGAGGCTCGAGGGTAATAATGATTCATTAGTGGCTGTCCCTGAGGCCAAGTCTTGAAACATGAGCTGCCCAGAGTTGAGTATCTCGGTTATGTACTCGATCTCCCATTCCGGTGTTGCTGAATCTGTTTCATCTAAGGTGTACTGGGACTCGTTTGATGAAACCCAAGTGAGCTCTTGATCTGATGAACTCTGTTTCATGCCTGAAAAAACCAACAAATATTAAGCTTATTTAGCTGCAAATCGTATTAAGACTATTTGGTGGGAATCCAAAACCTGGTTCATAAGAAAAGGAAGAACGATCCAGACATAAATATACAAAGACATACCATATTCTCTGTCATGTCTGCAATCTGAGTTACTCTTGCTGAAGGATGGTGCAAAATCATCGGCTTCTGTAAGAGTGGTGATGCTGCTAACTTCTTGTTCTTCTCCTTGTATCATCATCTTCTTCTTTAAGAAAAAATGACAAAATTTTCTCAGAGACTGGTAAGCTGGAAAAGCATTTGATATAATAGAATATTAAAGCTGCAGTTTATCGAAACTAACCTGGACTTTCTGGTTGTTATAGAATGAAGTGCCGTCAGAAACAGTTTCACTCTCTGTTAAAACTCTATCAAGACTGTTATCAGTCAATTCACTATATTTTGATGGCGAGGAAATCATTCCATTGGCTCTATCCTTTGAAATGGAACTCAAAGACTCTTCTTGGATCAAGCTAGAGCTAGATGATTCAATCTTTGAGGTCAACTCCCTGAGTTTTTGCTCCAAAAGCGCATTTAAAGAATCACCGCCTATCACATTGAACTTTACAGCAGAGTCTGCATCTTGTTTGGGTCCTTGTAAATGAGATGATAAACCTTTGATTGAAGATGAGAAAGTAAAAGATATCACATCCATGTCCTTTTTCTGATCATCTTTACTCATACTTGAGTCGCCATCACTGGAAATGTTACATTTTATCGACTTTTCACCCCTTTTGATCCGCTTATCTTCATAAATTCCTGATTCTTGCACCCCATTCCGCGGTTTTTTGTTTCGAGGAAGACTCTTTTTGCGGGATAAAGGTAAGGAAGTGGTTTTTTCTGCTGATGCCATAGTAAATCCAGGGCTCTTTGATATAGATCCACTTTCTACAATTACCTTATTTACTACTTTGTTCATTACTTTTCTGGATTGCTGATTGTCCCTGCAGTTCTGCTTCTGGTAGTTCTGCTGAAGCACATTCTTCCCTGTGCTCAAGGAAGATCCTTTGATACTGTTTTGGCTTTTAACTGCCCTGTTCTTTGCTTCCGCTTTCTCCTTTTGTCCCGAAGACATCCTCTTGTTGCCACTGGAGGACGTTGTTGAGCTGTCTTGCTTCTGATTACTTCTGGCCTTTGCTTGCGCAGAGAAAGAAGGTGGCTTCACTTCACCTTTCAACCCATCACAACTGCTTGTTGCCAATACTGTAGTTTTCTTCTCGTTTTGATCTCCTCTTAGGTACCTACTGTTGCGAGCATCATTATAGATTTGAGGAACTGAAGTTGATGCTTTCTGTGCAGCTTCTAGTTTCTCTTTCAAATCTCGAATCCTCAATGGAACTGGCGAAGAAGAATCAGACGATGACACCACCCGTGTTCTTGCAATCATCCGTGGACTTTGCTCAATCATTCTTGAAGCAGCTTCCATTACATAGGCAGGGTTCCTAGATGGAACAAATCCAGGATTCCTTATTGGAGACAATAGCTTATTGTGAGTGACGGAGATCGGTTTAGCTGATCTAGGGGGTAAGGTTTCGGTTTGAAACCGCTCAATCATCCGCTTACGTGGCCCTTTACTCGTTCTTGAATCCAAATGATCGCAAGAGACGCCATCGAATTCACTCAGATGATCAACATTAGCATCCCAAGTACTTGCCTGGCGTGAGGATCTGAGGAAGTATGGATCAAGATCAGGATTAAGCCGCGGTTCCAAAACATTTGGTAGCGGTAAACCCTCCAATCCCATAAGCCTCGCCACCACACTCGGTGCTCTAACCACATTTCCATCATCACTAGTTACAGATGAAGCACAACAGCTCGAGTCACTTCTCGGGTTGTAAGTTGAGTTCTTGACAGTCTGATCGACCTCAAACTGTTGACACAGATCACAGCACACAGCACACACCACAGAACACAATTAGTTCATGTCTAACAAAAAAAGCATTGCATAAAACGAGGAAATGGTATTGAGCAAAGCCTTACAACAGACTGCGGCGTAATAGAGGGGTTCTGAACATTCTCTTTTGCTTGCCTAGATTCTTCTGCATCAAAAAACACTTTCAATTATCGAACTGCATTACCTTAACGAACATTTGTATACATAGAAAACAAAAGAAAGAAGACCATACCAGAGAGTTGGGAGGTATTGGATGAGAAAAGCTTCTTCCTGGATTTTCCATGCCAATCAAACAGATTTAGAAACGCTCCTCTTGGCCTTTTTCTCTCAACAACGTCCATCTTAGTTCCACCTATCTATCACACAAAAAAAATTGAATCATTTTCAATGACAAGACACTGGATCCCATCATAACAACAACAGACAAAGCAAAGCAAAACAAAAAGACCAAAATTAACGATTTAGCTATGTAATGAATCGCCTACTTTTCAGCTCAAGTGTATAGCAGAAGCATAAAGGGAAATTATATCAGGAATGAAAATCATCTTACCTCTTAGGATGCCAAAGATCTCATTTTGTTTTTACTTAAAAGGATCCATTCATCAAGTATAATTTGCAGAAACCCTGTCTAGAAGTCGAAGATTACCAAAATTCAGAGAAATGAGAACCCAGATGTGTTACTTTTGCAAATTGGATCGAGCCAAATCGGAAACTTTTTGGCGCTAGAAGATCTTGCCCTAACAATCGACCAAAGCTCTCCACTTTAATCTCACAATCGACGGAGAAAGGGGAGGCAAAACACAAAAATGAGATTTAATTAAACCAGACAAGCAAAACAAAGGAGAAGATTTGGGGTTTTTGCGGAATGGGTAAGATCAGCGAAGCTCAAAACAGATTTGAGACTGGGAGTTTTTGGCATTTGAGATTAGGGATTTGGGTAGTGAACTAAAAGAAGTAGTGTCGAAGCAGCAAGAGTCGTCTTTTTAAAAAAGTGAGAAGAGATGAGCAGAGTTTGAATTGAAATGACGACAGAGAGAGCCGTTGCAAAGATGGATGGAGAGAGAGAGAGAGCGAGTGAAAGATAAGACAAAGAGAGAGTTTTGAATTTAGGAAACTAAAAGCTCCTTCCTTCCTTTAGGAAATTGAAAGTGTTGTCTTTTAAAACTATACAAAAAAAAAAGAAAAAAAAACTTAGAGGGGTGTATTCAAAATGGAATTTTTAGAGATTTGAGTTTTATTGGGGTTTTAAATGATTTTGATGATTTTAGGGAAGTTCATATGACTTTTGTAAAATCCTTTCAAATCTCACCAAAAACTATGGGATTTGGATTTCTGTATTTTTAACTAAGGAAATCCTCCCAAATCCTCTGAAATCCTTCAAAATCATTAAAAGCCAAATCCACAAATTGTTTTTAATAACAGTGGATTTTAATGTGGATTTTGAAATCATTAGTTGAATAACAGTGGATTTCATGAGACTTTTTAAAATTCATGTTTGAATAACAATGGATTTGTAAACTTTTTACAAATCACTTGAAATGTCACTTTGAATACACCCTATTTTTTCAACAACTATTTTGGCTTTTGTTTATATAGTCGCAAGCATGATCACATCATCTAATATAGGCTTAGTTAAATGTTTTATATTTTGGTATCCAATGCAGATCGAGATTGCTATATACTTATGTTTCAGTTTGCAGTTTCTCTAGTTTGAAACGTATAAAAGAGAATTTGAATTGGTTAGGGGACAAAAAAACATAATTTTAAAAAGGTCATAACGTTTTAATTTTTCAGGTGTATAAAAATAAAGGCAAAGACTTTATAGTAAACAGTGCAGTCACTGTATAAGTATTATATGTGTCGTTTTTTTTTTTTAATAATCTATTTAGTTTTGGGTCTCACTCGGGCTCACCACTTTCGTATGATTTTGAATATTTGTAAAATATGCTTCATTCTATGATTCGATCTCTTCAAAGTTAAACCTTTTTTTTTGTTTGTTTAGTGTTTGGACTTTTGAGCTTACAAAATCAGAGTTTTGAAGTTGTTGTGGTTGAGTTGCTTTGAAGTGGCGAAACCAAAGGTAGAGCATATGAAAATGAGGTCTGAGCAATTGCCCTAGTATGAGACTTGAATCTCACAATTGCAGAGTTGATTACTAAAATGATTCCTTATTCATATGCTCTTGAAAGTTAAGTTTCCACACAAAAATCTTGAGAAATCATTTATTTGTTGTCTTTCGAAATTAATTATTTTGCACCCACACATATATTACAAAAACATATATTTGCTATACGAAGATAAAATCAAATTATATTAGTTATCGAAATCAAATTATTTTTTGTAGTTATAAGTTGTTACAAACTAAATTATCCTTTTTACCCAAAAAAAAAACTAAATTATCCTGATAACAAAAAAAATATTTAAAACAGAGAAAGAAATTTTAAAAAGACAATGACAAAAGACAAAACACAAACAAACATACAGTTGAAACTTGAAAGGTTGACTCATATAAATATAAAATTTGGTGATAAGGAAAAATCACCAAATTTAAGTTTTTTTCTTTTTTCGAAAATATTGATTCAAAATAATATCCTAAATCGCAAAAAAGAAATTTTATATGAGCTGACCTTACTTGTCCCCATTAAATAGCTTCAGTGTTGAAGAAAAGTCATTTTTTCTTTTTTGTGAAAGGAAAAAAAACTTCGATAGATAATGGGATAGAAGTGAACAACTGAACAAATATACATTTGTAAGAAAATTAGAACGGGCCTTAATAAAAGTTAGGTCAGCCCATACTTTAAGAAAATAATATCGGGCCTTAATAAATTTAGGCCCATTTATAGTGAACATATATCAGTGATAAATCCTTGTTTGGTCTTCCTTCTCCTTAAACCCTAATTCTCTCTCCCTCGGCTCTCTCTCCCCAAATTTCTCAATGACCACCACAGAGTCGCCGCCGCCGCCGCAACAGACGGAGCTGCAACTTGTTCCCGCTTCACAGACTTCAAGAGTGAGTCCCAAGACTGTTGGTAGCGCCGTAGAGGGTCTCGTCAAATGGAGAGCCGAAAAATCAAAGACAGAGAAGGCTCAACTTCTCGAGCAAGAGGAGTTCGTCTACCTCGTTGTTACGTTGAAGAAGATTCCACAGACGAGCCGTACGAACGCTCATCGCATCCCTTTACCTCATCCTCTTATCAACCCGTCGGAGGATTCGCCGGAGCTTTGTCTCATTATCGACGATAGACTTAAAAGTGGTCTCACCAAGGCTGATGCGATGAAGAAGATCAAATCGGAGGATATTCCGATCACTAAGCTTCTTAAGCTGTCGAAGCTAAAGTCTGATTACAAGGCGTTCGAAGCTAAGAGGAAGCTCTGCGATTCGTACGACATGTTTTTCGCTGACCGGAGGATTCTTCATCTGCTCCCGAGATTGATTGGGAAGAAGTTCTTCGCCAGGAAGAAGATTCCGGTGGCGATTGATTTGAAGCACAAGAACTGGAAAGAGCAGATTGAGAAAGCTTGTGGATCTGCTATGTTCTTCATGAGAACTGGGACGTGCAGCGTTATTAAGGTTGGAAAATTGTCTATGAAGAGTAGTGAAATTGCTGAGAATGTGATGCAGACATTGAATGGAGTAGTTGAGTTGTTGCCTAATAAGTGGAAATACATTAGGTCTTTGCATTTGAAGTTGTCTGAGAGTTTGCCATTGCCTATCTATCAGTCTGTGCCTGATTTGAAGCTCAAAATCGATGCTTTTGGAACTGGAAAGAGTGTTATTACGGAGGAGATGAATGGTGAAGTTGAAGAAGTTGCTGATGATGCTAGCGAGAAGAGTGTTACAGAGAAAGGAAAGAAGAAGAAGGGTAGGATTCATGAGGTTAGGTATATGGATAGTAATGTATCTGAGGTGCTTGATGAGGCTGAGATTGGTGGTGTTGAGGATAAGAATGAGATTGTTGTGTCTGGGGCTAAGGAGGAGGAGAAGAAGATGAAGAAGAGGAAGAAGGAGGTCAGTGAGGTTGCAGAGAGTGAGAAGCCGATGAAGAAAGCTGCGAAAGGGAATTTGAAACCAGCAGTTGAGAAACCGGTGAAGAAAGCTGTCAAGGGGAAGATGAAACCAGATGTTGTGAAGCTGGAGAAGAGTAAGGATGTGTTAAAGGCGAAAAAGACAACAAAGATTGCCAAAGACGAGTCTGGTGGTGGATTGAAACCGAAGAGGAAGAAGAGTGTGCTTAGAAAATGAGGCAAGGAAAGATCTCGACTGTTTCCTTCTTTTGCCATCGAGTAATTTTGAGTATGATTTATGTTTTGTTTTCTTATCCTAGTTCTTATTACATTTTGAGCCCTTTCATATCTTGTACCACTTCTATGAAACATCGAACTGGTGAATGTGGTTTGGTGGTTTTGTGGAGGAAACATACTGTTAGGCTTTTTAAGTACTTATTTTACGTTTTTCATTCTAAACTAAGCCTAATTATCTGAATTTATTGCAATAAGCATTTAACCGATCGAGCTTTGGTAGCTACTTACACGACCTTGATCTCCATCTCTTAGTCAATGTCTCACAAAGGTTAACACTTCAAAATCATCTATGTCTCATAGCAAATTGTATGAAAAACTGCATTAGTTTCTTAATTACTCTCATGGCCAACAGAAGAATTCAAAGTTGCTATGGTATAGACATGAAATAAAGATAGGTAAAAGATCAATGGAAACAAAAAAATATAAAACCTATATATGACACTGTTTCTGAGCAATTGTTTTATTAGCTGCATATAACAATGGACCCAAAAAAATTATAATATTAAACTAGTGAAGTATTCATAAAGATGTATGAGGTAAACATTATCATACCACGAAATAAGCTGAACTTTTAATGTGGTCACATTTATGTAAGAACCTCGACCATTGCAGCCAGCCTCTGAATGGTTTACCAATTATTCTCCTCATGATAAGCTCCTTTCTCTCTCAGCTCTTTTCTTATATGCTTAAAGCTTTTTGTAATCTCATTTTCTAATCACAGGACCTCTGTACGGAACTCTCCATATCACAAAGCTATCAGGAGGTTGATACTCTTCGAGCCATGTCACATTTGAGATCACCTCTCCATTCATCACTTCAATCTCACCTGGTTTCAAAAATGATGTTCATCAAAAACATAGCCATAGTAACAAATGATAGTCGTAAACCAAATCTGTTTAGCAATACACATAATGAGCATGTTCCATGAATCTACATTTAGACTCTTATCTAATCAAGCACCTATAGTGGTTTAGCCCATGATTCCTCAACAAAGTGCTATGAAAGTAGCAACATTAAGAAATATAGTAGCATTTTTAAGCAATTAAGTTATAAAGTGGTTTCCTCGTGAAGTTACCAGGTAAGTCTCGTATTGGGGATTTGCGGAAGTAGTTGCAGTGTCTGCCATGAGTAGAAGAGTATGGAGGAGATAAGATGTCGAAGATTGCACAATGAGTAATGGCTTTGAAACAGTGAATGTTGCCACCGGTCGTTGGATATAGAGTGGTCGCTGGGCTAGGGGCAGTCATATCAGTATCCTTGACCAGCTTTGCAGGTCTTGCTATGAGTAAAAGGGAACAACAGATTACTGATTTTGAAATGATTCGCATAGAAGCTACACTGGGGCAGTTTACATGTCACTATTACCTTGTAATGGATCGTCTAGCTCTGATGGGTCAGGCTCAGCCCAATCATATGACTTCACGTGCATTGAACCATAAACAAGCTTGCTTAGAACTGTCATGCCTGGATGATTATGAAGTGGTATGACAGACCCAGGTGGCATGCAGAAAATTCCAATCTGACGAAATAATGATCAAAGCCGAATAAGCAGACAAGAAAAAACAGGAATCTTCACTTCAGAACTTTGTTTAAATGCAGTATACGAGCGTGTTGCCTCATGGCTGAGAGCAATGGCCAGAACAGAGACCAAAAAGATTAGTAATGATGAGAGATCTGGTTTCAACATGAGAAGTCTAGCTTAGGTAGTTCTACTAAAAATGAGCAGCTTCACATAAAGTATAATGCCTAAATATATCATAGCTCATTTTTCAATATATTAGTGAAGGCATGCTCAAACGTTTAAAAGTGAAAACTACATGCGAACCCATCCTGAAAGAAAGTATGCTCACTGAGAAGCTGTCACACTCATGTAACTGAAGATATTTTATTGCTGGCAGAGAATGATGGTTTCCATTACGTTCGTTCCCAGGACCAGGCCAGTTACGCACCAATTGAGCTTCTTGTTCGAGACCAACATCAGATGGCTTGATTTTCTCTGAAACAGGAAATAAAGGTATTAAGTATGTTTGCAAATATTAGACCTTATAAAAAAAACAGCAGTCTAATGATGACACAAGAGAGTGCGATACCCAAAACTAGTACTGTAATTCAGACATCACGAGCAACACAGAGTCCCTAAAAAAACATTATGGAGCAAGCAATATTGTAGAAAGACAAGGGAACAACATTTGCAAGACAGTGGATAAGAAAATGTAGTCCCCTACCCAACATATTGCGAACCTTGTCTAAGGCCTCTTCAGACACAGGTCCATTAGGTGAGAGAGATGCCTTGCAAGTATTGAAAAGCCTCTGAATATAATACGGCATGATACGAAATGGAAGAAAACTCCAACTTCTTAGAGCTCCTAAGTTGCACTGATCAAGCTTTGAGTTATCTAAAAACCAAAGATGAGTGAACCGTATCTGTTTTTTCCAGTTTCAGCACCAGCGACCACCTTCTTCAATGATTCTCAATCACTGCCCTGAAAGAAGAGAAAATAAAAATATATTTTTAACTTCATACAGAGCTCCAGAATCGAAACAAACAAATCTGGAAAAAAAAAAAAAAAAAACAGATAATACAAATCCAGGAGCTCTGGCGTCTCTGACAAAGTGGTGTTTTTAAAAATCACTGCATCTACCTAATTGAGCTCAGTCACATGAAGAAAAACATATTGCTAGGAATAGAATTTAGGTCAAGTTATTTTGCTAAACTGGATCATAAATCGAATTGAACGGTGCCCAGAAGATTCTAACAATTCACTCAAGAATATCACAAACAAAAAAAAACACAATTTAGAGAAGATACTGGAACAAGAGGAATAAAGATTACGAGTCGTTGGAGCAAGTAGAAGAAAGATGAACCAGCTATAACTAGAAGCAGAAGGAGATAGATAATAATAGAGATGAAAAGGTGAGCTTCGAATTTCTATGGTGATAGAGAGAGACAGTGAGAGTGAGAGACCACCTTTCGAGCAGAAGAGTGAAAAATCCGAAGAAGAAGAGAATCGGAGGAAAACGAAACGATGATGGAAATGATTTCAAGTCAGTCGGAGGAGGAGGAGGAAGAATCAGAATTTGATCTTTTTTGCTTTCTGAGTCATTTATAAACGTCAAGTCTCACTCTCTCCCCCCCTTACTTTTCAAATAGTCAATTTCAACCCCTTCGCTTTTTGTTTTTGGTTCGAATCAATTCCACCTATTTTCTCTCTAGCACCGAGAACAAACTACAACTTTATTTATTTTGGCCAACCAACAATGACTAATTGATACATTCTCTTACGAGTTGTATTTGTATATATATAAAAATAAAGGTAACTTTTTTTTTAATCATTTTAATACGGAGTTGACCGGACAAATCTCGTTTTAATTCAATGTTAATTACATAATTTAATATCAAACAACGCAAGTAGCAAATATATGTATTTTAACTACAATCTCTTGGTTCTATATCGTATTTTTTTTTTCATTGTTTTGTGGTAGTTTGGAATTAATCAAGAGAATTCATGATGTAGATTTTTGTTTATTAGGAATATGAGGAAAGAGAGAATGGTAGATATTTTATTTAAAAAAATATTTACAAGATAACTAGCTTAAGAAGAAAAAACAAACTTCACAGATTTTGTTAAATATGAATAGTTTGATTATGATTATAAAAACAAAAAAGAAAGGTACATATAAAATATTCTATTAAAAAGTGTAAAATTATATGTTATCTTTTAGCTATTGCCTATCATGCTCATACACACATACTAGGATGGGACGTGTAATTCTCTCTATTGGTGTGTTTTTTACACTTTGGAAAGCCCAAACCTTTTGTAATAATAACCTTTGATCTATGAAAGGTATAGCTTAGAGCATCTCCAATGGTGAGGGTGCTTACACATTTTTTTACATTAATTTTTATAAAATAAATTCATAAGCAACTTTATTTTGATGTTAAAAATATTGGTGATCCAATGGTATGATTCTTAATGAAGTGTTTAAAACAAAAACAAAATTTATTCTTCAGTTGGATCTTCGATTGAGCTGCTCTTATAAACCCCCTTGGACCAAACCACACATTGATTCTTCAGTTAGATCTTCGATTGAGTCAACATTTCGGATCCGATCTTGAAGTTTTATCACCACCGATTAAACCATCGATCAAGAGAGAAAATGATTACGAAGATAAGAGAAGAAAATAACACGTATACCCCTCTCAAATTACCAGAAACTGATTCGTTTTCCATGCTTTCTTCATCCATGGAGAGAAAGAGAGAGAAACTAGGGAGAGAGAGACTCCGGATAAAGAGAGAGAGAAAGTTCAGAATTTTTTTTTTCTATTTTCCTTCCACCCAATAAAAATTTGACACCTATGCATCGCTTATCTGTTGTTTAAACTCGCAAATTAAACAACAATCCTTGCAATTTTATCAATGTTATGCATTTTATTCTATACATACATTCTTAAGCTATTGAACAAGCACATATTAAGGTGTATTAGTAGCCTACAAGTCCGTTTTGTCTTAACAATTCCAAACGGGCTTTCTCGGTCTTTTGGACGAAACTATCCTCGGCAAGATATTTTTATCTGAAGGGGACTTCAAAGTTAGCTATTTACTTAATTACCCCTTATGGAAAAAATCAGAAATATAAAATTGATTTTGGTCTGATTCATTTTTATCTAGATCCTCTTCTTCTCTCTTACATTTCTTTTTATTATTATCCACGAGAGACCGAAGAAAAACCTAAAAAAGAAGAAGAAAAGCAAAAATCTCTCTCCTAAGAGAAGCCATGGCAGGAGTTGGACCGATGACTCAGGATTGGGAACCAGTTGTGATCCGTAAGAAAGCTCCTAACTCTGCCGCTAAGCGCGACGAGAAGACTGTCAACGCCGCTCGTCGAAGCGGCGCCGATATCGAGACCGTTCGGAAATGTTTGTTTTCTCCTTCTTCTTTTTTTTTTTTTTCTCTCGATCTCTCTCTCTCTCTGATCTGCCTTCTTTTACTAAGCTTTGCGAAAAGATTTATTCGGTTTAGGCTCTGATTTTTGGTGACTGAATCTAGGTTGAGTTGTTTCTACGCTGTGTTTTTTTTTTCAAGTTTCCAGGATTAGGGTTATTTAATTGTCTTCGCCGCCACTGGATTATTATGATTTCATGAGATAATTTGTCATTTGTATTAGGTTTCTAGGTTTGTGATTATTTCGATTGCTGTTTGCAGGAGTAACAATTTTGCTTGAGGTTTGCTAATTGATTATTGCTCGAGTACTACTTGTTTTCTGTATTCACGAATCTTTTTTTCTTTTTTTTTGTTCAGCATGAATGTTATAGTTGTCTAACCGGATCTCTTTTGTATTTGCTTGGTTTTAGTCAATGCTGGATCCAACAAGGCTGCATCAAGCGGAACCTCCTTGAACACGAAGAGGCTTGATGATGACACTGAGAACTTATCTCGTGAGTAGATTATATCCGAATTATTCATCTGATATTTTATTATGCACTGACACAGAGATATTAGTTAGTACCTGCCTCTGTATTCTGGGACATTGTTGTTTACTAGTCGTGTTCTTATTAGGGCCATGTCTTTCTGGGTTCTTCATGCTTTCTACAATTTTAGTAAGAGGGAGTCTTTTATTTGTTGATGGGTTATAGGGATGCCAAAGAGCTGAAGCTTTATGTATTGTAGTTTTTGCAAATCATTGTGTATTCCATTCTTGTGATAGGTTGATTAGGAAATGTTGGTTATACTTCTAACACCTTGTCTGTGTATGGGTTGTATAATCAGACTTCTAACAGCTTGTCTGTGTATGGGCTGTATAATCAGATGATCGTGTGCCTACTGAGTTGAAGAAAGCCATCATGCATGCCAGAGGGGAGAAGAAGCTCACTCAATCGCAACTCGCCCAAGTACTTTCTCTTTTCTCTGTTGTTACTTTACTTGTTCGTATGTAACGAGATTCATGATGATAACATTATATATGTTTTGCTTTCTGTAGCTGATCAATGAAAAGCCACAAGTGATCCAAGAATACGAGTCAGGGAAAGCAATTCCAAATCAACAGATCCTTTCGAAGCTGGAGAGAGCTCTTGGTGCCAAACTCCGTGGAAAGAAGTAAGGAACAAATCTCTCTCAAGCTATAAGAAAAAAAAAAAAAAGCTAATCCCAGTTTCTCCAGTTCAGATGCTTTTACCATATGCTATGAAAACTATATGGTTGGTTTAATGGCATAGTAGTGTGTTGCGAGGAATCTTTTATGATGTAAGACACAAACAAAGCTGTTTGGAACCTTTTGTCATTATAAATAATCTGTTTTCGTTTTCGTCGTGTCTCGTAAACCCCGACTTCCACAAATCTAGTATATTTTTATGTAAAAAAGTTTGAAATTTGAAACTGATGCAGTCTCGACTCTCGCTACATTATTGAGAAAAAAAAAAGAATTTTATGGAACAAATAGTTGTCAATCTGAAAATTACTCGGAAGCCAAAATATACATACTGTATACTGTAGATAAAGATGAGCTTGTATTTTGGGCTAGATATTTCTGATTTTGGGCTTTTTTAATTGTGTTTCATTTCAACTGTTTACGCTTGGTCTAGAATCCATATATACATTAACACTCGGGGACTAAACTGTACAAACATAAAGTAAAGGGAAAAGAGTGTAAAGTTGTCGTGAATACGTACATCCCTGCAACTATTCCCCGCGCCACAAAACAAAACAGTACAGTGAGTCAGTGAAGCTGACATTCACACACACACACACAAACATAAAAATCAAAAACAAGAAAAAAACTAATTTTCACGAAACCCGAAGCTCTAAGTTATTCCTCTACTGTTTCAATCTCATCTCCTCCATCTCATAGACCCTGAGTGGCAATTTCTAGGGTTTTCACATTTTTCTTTTCTTTTCCATTTCTGGAAACTAGTACAAAGGCTTCTTTTCTCGTCTTCTACTTTTGGGGGAGACAGAAATGGAGACAGACGAAGCATACCAAAAGAAAGAGCGCGCTGCACTTGTAGCCATTGTCGTTCTTGCTTGTCTTGCTCTGTCTTCTTTGTTCGTTGCCTTTAGCTACTACTGCTACATTCGTAACAAAGTTTCTAAGCGTCACAGGATTAGCAAGAGTAAAGCTCAACAATTTTACATTTTTAATTTCTTCCTCTTATCTCTATCTGCATTTCCTTCTTCTTACACTCTCTGTTTCGCCGGATACTGCAATTTGTTTCTAATTTGGAAGATGGTTTTTAATTAGGGTTCGATTTTGTATTCTGGGTATTGAATTTGTTGTCGATTCTTTTAGGGTTTGATTGCGAGGAGAAAGGTGATTGTCAAAAGCTACAAGATGTTACTGACAATGGGCTGCAGATTTTCACTTTTAAGCAATTGCATTCAGCGACTGGTGGGTTTAGCAAGTCTAATGTGGTTGGGCATGGTGGCTTTGGGTTGGTTTATCGTGGTGTGCTTAGCGATGGGAGAAAAGTTGCTATCAAGTTCATGGATCATGCAGGGAAGCAAGGGGAAGAAGAATTCAAGATGGAGGTTTGTTTATTTGAGCTTCTTCATTGTTCTTTTGCTTTTCAAGCTTATTTACATTTTGCATTTTGTAGAATTTTCGATTGCTTAAACCAATTGATCAATTTTTTAATTTTTTTCCCGGTGACAGGTTGAGTTACTAAGCCGCCTGCGTTCACCGTACTTGTTGGCACTTCTTGGCTATTGCTCAGATAATAGTCACAAGCTGCTTGTGTATGAGTTCATGGCAAATGGTGGTCTGCAGGAACACCTGTATCTTAACAACAGTAAGTTCATTCTGCCAGTATTGGTAAATGTTGTTGCTTGTTAGAAGTTTTCCTCTTTTTACTTCTATGTATATCCATTAGGTAATAGAATCCTAGATAGTGTCTTGTAGTTACTAACTGGTGAACATAGCATCTTGAGTTCTCATTGTGTATTTGATAGCTTTTTCTTGCATATAGGATCTGGTTCTGTCCCACCGAGATTAGATTGGGAAACTCGGATGAGAATAGCTCTGGAAGCTGCAAAAGGCTTGGAATATCTCCATGAACAAGTATCACCCCCAGTGATTCACAGAGACTTTAAGAGCAGCAATATTCTGCTGGACAGAAACTTCAATGCCAAAGTTTCAGATTTCGGATTGGCCAAAGTGGGATCGGATAAAGCTGGTGGACATGTATCAACCCGTGTATTAGGCACACAAGGATATGTAGCTCCTGAGTATGTTTTCCACTCAATCAATTTCTTTGTTCTTCCATCACTTCAACTTGATTAGCTGGGTATAACAGCCATCTTTTTTTAATTTCTTGTTCAGGTACGCATTAACCGGTCACCTGACAACAAAATCAGATGTCTATAGTTATGGTGTAGTCCTGTTAGAGTTGCTAACTGGTAGAGTTCCAGTAGATATGAAGAGAGCTACAGGGGAAGGCGTTCTTGTCTCTTGGGTACACATTCCTTTCAGAAACTGCTCTTGTGTCGTCTTGTTGTTTGCTCTAATAACTTCTCTTTTCCTTTTCTCCAGGCTTTGCCTCTATTGGCTGATAGAGAGAAAGTAGTAGACATAATGGATCCAACACTCGAAGGACAGTACTCGACAAAAGAAGTTGTTCAAGTTGCAGCAATAGCAGCAATGTGTGTTCAAGCAGAAGCTGATTACAGACCATTAATGGCAGATGTGGTGCAGTCACTGGTTCCGTTAGTGAGAAACCGTAGGTCAGCTTCAAAGCTTAGTGGCTGCTCCAGTAGCTTTAGCTTGGCTCGGTCTCCTAATTCGCCGGGTAAAGCAAGCATCGGTTCTCAGTAAATCAGAGAGAAAACAAAATGTAAGGCTTCTTTTATGTACCCACTGGATTTGCTAAAACAGACTCTAATGTTACACTTTGGGTGACCAAACATGGGAATTAATAATGATCATATCAAATAAAGACTTTTTAAATACATTAAAGAGAAATTACTACATTTGGTCTATGGGCTGATCCTGGCCCATTAGAATGTCTACTGAATCTCAAAACAAAAAGGTCACGTGCGAGTAACTTGGGCGTGTTGGAAGAGGGAGGGTAAAAGCGTCATAGCGCAGTCCTAAATTAGCTTAGAACCCTAGTGGCTTATTAGATCTAGGGTTTATATACTTTGCCGCTTCATCTTCGTTTCCTCTTTTCGATTCCGTCGGCCGGAGATTTACACCCTAACCCGAAATGGTCCGTCGGATTTATTTCTTATGCGTGTACGTGTTAGGATTTTCCAAGTAAATATGTGGTGATTTATGTTTTTGGTTGAATCAGGCGTCGGAGAAGAAGCTATCGAACCCAATGAGGGACATTAAAGTGCAGAAGCTGGTTCTCAACATCTCAGTCGGTGAGAGTGGAGATCGTCTCACGAGAGCCTCCAAGGTTTTTTAATTTTGAACTTCATTCATCTTTTTTGTTTTGTTCCCCTGATTGTGCTCGATTTGAATCGAATTAGTTCTTTGGTTATTTTGTAGGTGTTGGAACAATTGAGTGGTCAGACTCCTGTCTTCTCCAAGGGTGAGTTTTTCTTCTAAGTTGAATTAGTTTTCTACTTGTCGGAACAATTTAGCTATCTCACTCAAAACTAAAAAATTGGAAAATAACTTCTTCCAAGTTTAGGACGATAAATTAGTGTAGGAAATTGCGTTTTCTTTAGCTCATCAGTCCCTTCTTTAGCTCTGAGATAAAGATGATTCTTGGTTGTTATGGTCCTGGATCATCAGAGTTGTAGTGAGAATCAGTAGCTATCAATTGTCGTCTCTGTTTTATTTCGGTTGCTTTTAATAATTTGTGTCCTCAGCTTCTGGTGTATGAATTTGTTGTGGATGATGAGATTTCCAAAACACTTGTCTCTTTTGCAGCTCGATACACTGTTCGTTCTTTTGGTATCAGACGTAATGAGAAGATTGCTTGCTACGTCACTGTCAGGGGAGAGAAGGCAATGCAGCTTCTTGAGAGTGGACTGAAAGTTAAGGAATATGAACTCTTGAGGAGAAACTTTAGCGACACTGGTTGCTTTGGTTTTGGTATTCAGGAGCACATTGATTTGGGTATCAAGTAAGTGTCTCTATCTTTCTAACACATACATAGAACAGCTTAAGAGTGGCTTTGTGTAACCATTAATCAAACTGGGATTTTCATCTTAGGTATGATCCATCAACTGGAATCTACGGAATGGACTTCTATGTTGTTCTTGAGAGACCCGGTTACCGTGTGGCACGTCGCAGAAGATGCAAGGCTCGTGTTGGAATCCAGCATAGAGTGACGAAAGATGATGCCATGAAATGGTTCCAGGTGAAGTACGAAGGAGTCATTCTCAACAAGTCTCAGAACATTACCGGCTAAAACAGATGTGTAAAACAAAAAGATTTACAACTGGTTCTTTCTATACCGGTTCGAATCGTATTTTCTCAGTTTTGCTATGCTTCTATGATCTTCAGACATTTGAATTTTACTTCTATAGATATTTGCCTATCTACAATTACCTTTGTTATCGACTAATTTATAAGCTGACTAAAAAATCTACAACACACATTTTCGAGATAATTAGATCTATGAATGATCATCGATACTCCGACAGAGAGTAGGTAATGAAAATTCTCTGTTTAAATTTATATATGTCAACCCTAAACCGTGTTTTTTGATAAACAAGAAGATTCTTAATTGAACAACCATCGAAGACAATCCTCGGAAGGGATGGTTTGTAATCTGCATTCAAACTTTCGAAGTAAAATCGGTTTGAGTCGTTTTTTCTTGTCGAATGGGTTAATATGAGTTATGATCGCATTAGGGTGTCTTATAGATAGATATGTATAAGATTAACTGGTTTATAGGTCGTTTGGATTGGATATTCGGAGATATTTTTATCATCCGATCCATCCAATTATAGATAATAATATATACTTACGTGAGGATTATTGAACGAATGCGAAAATGCAATTTTTACATTTGTCTTATTAAAAAGAATCTTTGACTATGCGTATATATATGTTTAAAAGTATATAAAAGACGTGTCGATAATAAATTACCTTGTACTTGTAACATTATATAGTATTTAACATCGTAACAAAGATAAAAAAATATTATCCAATCATGTTTCATTGTCAATTCTCAGCTGCATCAGATTCGAGCCGAATTATTGATTGGTTCGACATTAACTTATCATGATCATCACAAAATGACCAATTCAAACATATATACATATATATACACGCGTTACATATATAAACTAATCAAAAACCCTATACAACCAGAAAAATAAAATAAAAATTGGCTCTATTCTGACAGAGAGAAGTTGGAGACAATAATGGAGTAATTAAACTATTAATTATGACACAGGCTTTTTTTTATAGTTTTATCTATTTATGATTTTACAATTTTATTAAATGACTGGAGGAATCTTGACTTGATCACACACATATTTTTTTTTTTTGTTCAAACGATCACACACATATTTATTATTAGCCATTTCCAGCACAAATTTCTGTAATACAAATTTATAAAATATTATGTCATTTATCTAGACCTAGGGTTATATGTTTATGTTTTTATATGTATTGTATTTTGCATCCCAAAAATGAGTTTGCAGCTTTTTTACTTAGGCAAAGTCCTACAACAAACGAAACGTCATCAAATGTGACATCTTTTGTTTTCCATGGAAAGGGGGCACAAAGGTACACTGCTCTCTGCAAAACATTTTGGTTACGAGCCAAACACACACAAAACCAAACATGTTTTTGCATACAAAGTGATGTAAAGAGATTGGTTGTTTATGCAAGATTCATAATTTTTTTTAATTAACTTAATAATGTACCAATAAGTAACGAGTGGATTCTTATCTTAATTCGATACTGGATTCATAAGACATGAAAACACATTAGTTCATAAATCTGTGAGTGAAAATGACCTTCGTTAATTTTCAATAGGTCGAAGATTGTAGTCCAAAACTGATAAAATCATAAACATAATAAAATGTAGTAGTATGTTATTTGTGTTCACAAACATGATGCATTTTGGGATACTGAAACGGACCAAATCAACTCTGCATTTAAACATAAGAAGTCACGTCTGGATTTAAACATATAACTGTAATATATCCATCTCTGCATTCGGGTTTCATTTAAGAGTTAGATGGGTTTTATAAACTAACTTTTTAAAAAATTCATTTATAAACTAACTTTATTTTCGATATATAAAAAAACGAGCAATATGTATCTCTGTTTGTGCATAATTTTAATTGTTCTTACATGGACAGCAAAAAATAAAACATCACAGTCTATATAGATCAGATGCGGATAAATATAATACAGATTAATTTTTTGCATAATTATGCATGGACTTAATCAAAATGTCCAGCTAATTAAAGAAATCATTTGAATAGCCAAAAACCTTATGGTAATACTAATAATAAAATAAAATTTCCAAGAGAGAGAGAAAGATAAGAGAACCTTTCAAAATAAAATAAACAAATATCATATAATATATCACTACAAAACAACTGGGCATATTTATATTCAAATAAAATATAACAACCAATAGACAAAATAAATAAATATAATAAATAAAATAAAATAGCCCCCCTTCTTTGATATTTGCCTGCACGTCCCCAAAAAAACAAGTAGAGAATAATAATAATCACATCAGATTTTGATTAAAACCCTCTCACTAATCACCTTCTTAATCATCCCCCCTTCCCCTCCATCCCCTGCAAATAAATAAATAAATAAAAATCATCCTCTGCTCTCTGTTTCCTTTGGCGAAATCGGGAAATCATGCACCACCGTAGAGCAGCAATTCAAGAATCGGACGACGAAGAAGATGAGACTTACAACGACGCCGTTCCTGAGTCCCCTTCTTCTTGCGAAGACTCCAAGATCTCCAAACCAACTCCAAAGAAAAGGTTTGTGGAGCTTTCTTCTATCAGAGATTACGACGAATTGTTCAGAAAAAAAAAGAGTGATATGAAAATGTTAAAAATAATTGTGTGTTGTGTGTAGTAGGAGGAACGTGGAGAAGAGAGTTGTCTCAGTTCCGATTGCTGACGTGGAAGGATCTAAGAGCAGAGGAGAAGTATATCCACCGTCCGATTCATGGGCTTGGCGAAAATACGGACAAAAGCCGATCAAAGGCTCGCCTTATCCCAGGTTCAAATTTACTACACAACACCACTTTAGAGTTTAGATTACCTTTCTTTCTTTTCTCGTTTTAAATCAGCGGCGGCTTAGAAAATGAGAAAAAAGCGTACGTTAACCTTTACGGTGGTTGGGCTAACATACGCACCATGTGATAAACGGGACGCGTTTGATATGGCGTGGTCTCACGCGCCAGCTCCTTAATCCTTGGGAAGGGGTTTTAAAACTTTGTGATTAAGGAACAATTAGATGGGTTCACTAATTGAAATTTTCATGTTTAAAGTTTAATTTAGTAGTAGTAGAGTATTATATAGTTGTGGATAACCTCGGGGATGTGAGAAATATTAAAGTAGCGGTAGATCTTGATCTTCTAAAAGAGAAAGCCACAAAAGGTAATGCGCACAAAAAGGAAAAAATAAAATAAAAAGTATTTTTTCATATATATTTATGTACGTGATTAACGTGCCAATATATATTATACTATTCTCTATAACTCATTTATTTCCATTTCTTGAGGTTACATTTTTGGAAATTTAACTATTATTATTCACGTAAGCTTGCAATTTTAAATTTTTTTGAGCTAAATTTTAGTTATAAATTTGGTGTTAGTTTTTGAGTATTTTTCATGTAAAGTTGCGTGTTATGTTTTGAGTATATTGATTTGCTAACAAAATGTAAAATGGTATGACTGTTTCAGGGGATATTACAGATGTAGTAGCTCAAAAGGTTGTCCGGCGAGGAAGCAGGTGGAGAGAAGCCGTGTTGACCCTTCGAAGCTCATGATTACTTACGCCTGCGACCACAACCACCCTTTCCCTTCCTCCGCCGCTAACAACAAATCCCACCACCGCTCCTCCGTCGTCCTTAAAACAGCCAAGAAAGAGGAAGAATACGAGGAGGAGGAGGAGGAGGAACTAACCGTAGCCGCCGTAGAGGAACCTCCGGCGGGATTAGATTTGAGCCACGTGGACTCTCCGTTGCTCTTAGGTGGCTGCTACAGCGAAGTTGGCGAGTTCGGGTGGTTCTACGACGCGTCCATCTCATCATCATCTGGTTCTTCTAATTTTCTCGACGTAACGCTAGAGAGAGGTTTTTCAGAAGGCGGAGAGGAAGACGACTCTCTGTTTGGTGATCTCGGTGATTTACCTGATTGCGCCTCCGTGTTCCGCCGTGGGACGGTGGCGACGGAGGACCAACATAGGAGATGCGATTTTGGCGCCATTCCTTTCTGTGATAGTTCTAGATGAGTGTATGTGTGTGTAGCCAAAACAATTTTTTTTTTTCCACTGTAAAGGTGTATCAATGGTGGATTCATATGATTCGTTTATAAAAAAAAGAAACCCAACTAATAAAGTAATATCATTTGAGAGAATTCAAAGTAGTTAGTTTTTAAGGTACAAAGATTTTTTACATGCGACGAGGATAACCAAAAAGGAAAGTTTCTTCCATTGCTCTCACCACAGAGAGCAGCTCTAACGTGAAGAGATCGTTCATTCTCATGTCCCCGGCGGGATTTGTGACATTAGCCGGAGAAGAGTCTTGTTTTGCCGGCTTCAGTATGACGAATCTACAGACAGGGCACTGTCCTTTGCTCTTCAACCATGGAACTATACATTCCTCATGAAACATGTGTTTGCAAGGAGTGACCATCACTGTTTCCTTGGGCTCAAAGTCTTCTAAACACACGGAGCATCTCTTGTCTTCTTCTTCCCCTGGGAGATCTCGACTGCTTCTTGCGTTTTCATTTCCCGGGGTTTTGTTTCTGTAATATATGCTCAGGCTTCTTAGAAGAGTGCTTTTTGGAACGGGGTTATATGTCTCTTTTGTTATATGTTTGAGGATCTCCTCTTCTTCGTGGGCTTGTGATGATGATGTTGAGCTGCTCTCTGGTCTACCGGAATGGTTGTGGACAGCTTGCCTTAGTGCCTCGAGGTGCCGTCTTCGCGGGTTGCTGCTGTTACGCATTGGAATCTGATGTCGAGTATGTGATGGTGGTACTATATCTCTGCCAAGAACAATGGTTTTTCAAGTTCTTGAAGAGGATATAAAGACTTTAAAACAAAATCGAAAGCAGAAATACTCAGAGGATGATGGTTTAAGTACACTGTGGATGAAATCGATGTACTTGAGTAAGTGGCTGGAAGACCATCGAGCAACCGTCTGTTAACTATCTGAAAGAGGATACCGAAACATCAAATTGATAAGGAGGCTAAAACATGGACCTCTAGGATTGTATATGGTAAGAAGAAAACTTGACTTACTGAATTACTCCTGGACCATGAGTTCTGCGAAGAGAAAGCAGGAACTCGCCAACCAGACGATCGTGTATCCGTATCATAACTATAATTGGGTTGATTTGGAATAGAAGAAAAGCCATTTCTGTTATTGTTCATAGCTGAGAATGAATGGCTTTCTTGTTCCAAAGAAGAGATATGATAAGTTTTTGTAATGGAGTTTATATTCCTTTTCTTGCTTTGAGTTATTCTTTCTCCACTTATATGATTCCCTAAAGGCTGATAAATTAAGCAAGGAATATATGTCCTAGTATGTGATGCCATGTCTCCTGAACAAGTATCATGCTCACATCATGACCTAAATCTTAAACTGAATGTTATGTTCAAGAATCAATACCAGAAAACTTGGTCCAAGATTGCTATATATTTCTATGAAGGTTCAAGAAAGCCTCTTCACTCCATCATTATTGAAGTCTTATGTTTAGATTGCTACACTTCGAATACTTTTGTCACTCACTTAAAATAAATCTCCCAACTTTCTAAAAGGGATTCATGAAGTTCCTTTCTCACCTTGCTATGCTGAACCCACCAACAATAGAATCCAACAGTAACTTTACTCGAGAAAGCACAGGAACGATTCTGCATTTGTTTGATCTTGAAACAGGGGAATTATCATTACCCAAAACAGTAACACTCACAAATCTCTTCAGGAAAATTATAGCAAAGCACAATCCAAGATGATACAAATATGTCATCTACATCAAATCCCTTTTATTTGGAAAACATAAATATGATGAAGAGAGTAATAAAGGTATGACAGGGAGAATAGAAATCGATCAATCACAAAAGGGACCGAGAGAGCCCACACCTCAGAAAATAATGTCTGTATCCTTCTCTGCACCACCAACAAGGAAGTTGCGAGCAGCGTTAATAGAAATCCCTCTCTGCATAGAGATTCCTTCAAGAACCATTTCCTCAGCAAAGTCCTTAGCATTAGCTGCTTGTCGTTCGACTTCCCTTCTCTTGTATCCCTGAATCTTCTTCAACCTGAAGAAATCCTCTCTCTCGAGCTCATCAAGCTCTCCCTTGATGTAACTGATTGTATTCTCCAGCTTCGGTTTCACCACATTTTCCAGAGCGTTGACCCTGCGGTTAGTCGTCTTGATTGCTTCATCAAGCGTCAAGAAAGAAGTCTGGAGAGAAGCAAGCTCAACTAAAACTTCAATGGCTTTCACATAAGCAACACGGCAAGCTTGGACCTGTTGTCCACCTCTAGCTAAACCGGTCAAGTCATTCTTGGTCTCGCCTTCAGAGAAGTGATCAAACTTGGGAAGCTTCACTCCAGCAATATTCTCTGTACGAGAACGAACCTTCAATGTAGCTTCTTTAACGTTCTCGAGGACAACATGTTTGACATTCTCGCCAGCAACATACTTAACTTCGGTAAGAGCAAAAGAAGATGTCTTCATCATATCCCCCATGGATTCCTTTGCAGTAACGATTTTCTTGAGAAGTGCCCTAAACTGAACAGTCAAAGCATCACTCTTCTTCTTGAGGAGGGCATGACCTCTGGTGGCTCCAACAAGACGGGCTTTCATAACCCCGAGCATTGTAACAGTGGGAACCACATTCAAACGGGCGTTTTGGCCAGCCATCTTTCAATACTACTGCAGAGGAAGTTAGGTAAGATCAAATCTCTGCCATTAAAACAGCACACAAACAAATAGTATTAAAACTCGTCTAGATTGGGAGAAGACAACAGCACCAACAACAAAAGATGACTTTGTACGCAGTGAAACAATACATGCACCAATGGCGACAGAGATCAACCTCTAAATCTAGTAAATTCTGGATTTGCGTATCAGAATTGAACAAAAATGTGAATACACAGGGATTCAAAAGTTTCAATTTTCAAAAATCTTAGGCTAATAATAAACCAAGCACCCTAAATATCTTAATCTCGAACGATCCATAAAGAGAGATCCATGAGATTTCAAAATGAATTGTTCCCAGATTGAAATCAAAGTGTAGGAATTCAGATAAAAATTTGCGTAATACGAACCACCACGTAAAATTGAATAAAAAGTCTACGACTTTAAGACCGAGGAAGATGAAATATGGATCAGAGGCTCAGAATTGATCAGTCGGGTTTAATGGGATACACCTCTAAGAAGAACCCAGAGATTTCAATGGTCTGTTTTCTGATGGGGGAGAAATCAAACAAGAGAGAAAAAGAGTGAGAGAAGAGGATGATGACATACCTGGGCCTCACGAGAGACTATAAGAAGAGGCGACTTCTCACACAAGTAAAAATCACTGAGATAGATTGGAACCAGACAGAGAGAGAGATAGATAGAGGAAGAAGCTTTGGAGAAATTGGGAAAATTTTGATATTTTGAGGGAACAGTAAGAAAGATCGTATTCTCTCTCTCTCGACCTCGTCTCGCTGATCGTGGAGGAAAGAAAGGGGCGATTTTTGTCATTAACCGTAAAGTTGAAGGGCTTTGTTTTGCAATACTAATAAAATAAATATTACAGCTCAGCAGCTTATGGTGGGACCTACTTTCATGTTTTAAATCTGGACCCCTTGTGGGTGGGGCCCCATCACGTTCTTTAGTGCTCCAACAACACTTCTCTCTAATCTATAGGCTCTCTCTCTCTCTCTCTCTCTGCTTACTGCTTACTGCTTTTTTTTGCCCGGATTAAAATTTTTATAAAATCTATTTTTATATTTCTTGTCTACTATCTTACTAAATCCGTTGATGTGTTATTTATATGAGTTCTTTTATCGTTTTACCTTCAACTTCAAACATCATAACCTTAAAACATATGGTATATAGTACACAAATACTTTTGTTGTTTATTATTTTCACAAACTTATATATATATATTAAGGCTTACGCACACATGTACTTTAGATATTATACATTCAAGTTCTGCTGGTAGTACTACCAGCTATACTTTACATATATATAGATTCTTTAAAAACATTAATAGATATAGGATTTAGACTTGACGGCTAACGCCTTCTTGCTTCTTGCTGCATTCGAAATGGGAAACTTGACCCAACTGATCACTGATCGGTTCTTTCGCTCACTGCCTGGTAATGCCTTAGCCACACTCCGTTATAGACCTGTACATGTGGCCAAAAGAAAAAATGAACCGTTTTGAGCTATCAAAAAAGTGCATGTATAAGGTTTTACGTTTTGAAAATAAACTTGATGTATCAAAGAGTGTATTTTTACCTGTTGGGGTCTCATGATCTTAGTCTCAGGATTGTCTAACGACTCACGCCAGTGTGCCAAGTATCCAGCGATACGCGCAGTTGCCAGGAATGATGATGGTATTCCCATTGCCCTGTTTGTTTGTTTTTTTTCCCATTTCAAATTACCAATTACACAAAATCGATTGATCAGCTAAAGAAAGAACACAATGCTAATTACAGCAACCCATTAGCAAGAATTTGTTATATGACTCATCCATGACTTACCTATAGATTAAGCCAGAGTAGAAATCAACATTTGGATACAGCTTTCTTTTGATGAAATATTCATCAGAGAGTGCCGCCTTCTCTAGAGCATCTGCTACCTGAAAAACATCATCATCATCCACCAAATCTTTCTTAAACCACATCCACAAGAAGGAATTCAACAAAACCATCAACTAGGGAGGGTTACGATAGAAACACTTAAGAGTCTTTTTTTTTTTTTTGTCAACAAAACACTTAAGAGTCTAAAAGTACCTCAATCAGAGGCTCCCTTCCAAGAATGGAGAACACTTCATTCGCCAGTTTCTTAACGATTTTTCCTCGGGGGTCGTAGTTCCTGTAAATGCGGTGTCCAAAACCTGACAACTTCCTCTTCCTGAAAGAAACATTATAATAGAATAATTTATCACAATCCAGATACTTGTAGTCTTAGTACTGAGTTACCTGTTCTTCACGCTTTCAATGAACTCAGGAATCTTTTCAACAGTCCCTATCTCTGTTAACATGTTAATCGTAGCCTCAACTGCACCACCATGAAGGGGACCATAAATGGCTCCAACACCTCCCGCAACAGCAGTATATACATCAACACCACTACATAGACACAATACTTATTAAAAAATATCTCATATATATAGCAGACTCATCATATGAATCTCTAACCAGTGATAAGTAAATACCTAGAGGAAAGATGCAGAGAAGCAGCAGTAGAGCAGTTCATTTCATGTTCAGCATGCATTAAGAAGATGATATCCAACACTCGAGCCAAACGAGGATTAGGCTTGTAAGACCTATTCCCCCTGTAATCAAATGGAAAGATGAAAGAATATATCATGTTACACACAAATGCAACTGTTTAATCAAACAAATAGGGAATGTAGAGGGTGATGATTTACATTGATTCCACCATATAGAGGAAATTCTCTGCATAAGATAGGTTGCTCAAACGTTGGACAGGAGGCTTTCCTGCCTTCCTCAAATAAGCAGCTGCTGCAATTGTTGGTGCCTGTAGTCACGTCATATTATATAAAGACCTGAATCCACAGTCCTATTATAGATCAAGGGCACCATATATATATCAAAAAGATACATCAGTACCTATCCAAGAATACGAACAATCTGTTTATCACGAATTTGTTGTGACTTGTAAACACCTTGGCCCTGCACCAAATGAAAGTATCCATGAAATCAAGATCAGAACAAAAAAGTGGAGATCTTAACAGTAAGTAGCAAGAAATTAAGCAGGATTGTAAAGCTTACCATAAGAGAAGGATTTGCTTCCGGATAAAAGAAGGAAAGAGCATTCATCCCAGTGACAAGAGCTCCTATTGGATGTGCCTCACGAGGCATGGCCTGTATGATATCCTGTGAAAACATTCAGAAATAAAATCTCAGGTCGAAGATCCCTTAGAAAGTCAATTAGGAATAAGTAGAAGAAGCTCACCAATACTTCTTGTGGCACAGCTGAATTCTGAGAAATAGCAAACTCCCAATCAGCTAGCTGACTTTGAGAAGGCAGATTCCCATAAACTATAAGAAAAGAAAATGAAGTAATCAGTAAAACATAATTTCTGTTTCATTTGCAAAAAAGATTGATCAAACATGTGCATGTCCATATATTTATGCATGCCTCAAAAGATTAATCATAAGCAACAACAAGAAGCTGAAAGATGAGCAATACTTACTTAGGAGATACGCAACTATTGTTTTAGAAACCTTAAGAACAAGAGATCAAGAATATATAAAAAACACCTTTCTTTTATTGCTTTAGAAAATAACTCAAAACTAAAGCTCTCACAAATCTCTCAATCTCACACACTAAAGTCATAACTCGACTTCTCTATTTATATAAAACCAAAACCACCTAAGTCCTAATCCAAATAGGACTTTATAAAACCATAAAACCATTAACCCTAATCCATATCTCGGTAGGATTATAATAACTTGTCCTTCAAGTCTTCGTCTTCTTCAAGCTTAACTCAACATTCTCCCCCTTAAGCTTGAACACATCCTTCTTCAAGTCTTGAACTCCAATGAACTCTCTCATTTCCCTAAACTTGATCTTCCCTAAAGCCTTTGTTAAAATGTCCGCCTTTTGTTCCTTTCCCAGAACATACTCCACTTCTATATATCCATTCTCAACACATTCTCTTATAAAATGATAACGCCTATGAATATGCTTACTTCTTCCATGAAAAACTGGATTTTTAGTGAGTGCTAGAGCTGACTTGTTGTCCAAGAAAATTGTAACCTTTTCACTAGAAGAACCAGTTATTTCACCAAGTAGATCCTGAAGCCATATGGCTTGCTTTGCAGCTTCAGTACCTGCCATAAACTCTGCC